ATTTCCAGAAATAGTAGGCTAAGTAGTTGAAACCAATCCTCTACCTCCATGATAACAAACAAACGAAACCTGGAAGAAATTTTTTAAATAATTCTTAAACAGAGAAGCTAACAAGATAGTAAAAAATTTGGCCAAAACCCAAGAAAAGGTGATACCAGAAATTAAGCCCAATATTCAAACTGGTTTTCACACTGAGGATTTCTCTGACCTTGACCTTGAAAACTGCTGTTTTGATGCCCTTAGGAAGCAACAGAAACAAAAGTCAAAGCCAGGAGTCCACAAAGGGTATAGAGTCTGATAGCCACCTCCTTCTCCATCTCAACCTAGTACCCCAAAGAACTAAACCGTCAAGGTAAAGGTGAAGTGGGAAGAAAAACAGCAGGAATACTGAGCAAAAGAAATAAACCCAAAGGGAATTCACACAGTGGAATTAACACACACAGCTATAAAACAATGCTTACTGTGTTTAAAGAAATAAAAACCGAGCCTCAAAATTAACAGCAGAGAATAAGAAACTGTAAAACAATAGCACAGCACATTTGAAAAAGGACCAAATAGAGCCTCAGGAACCAAAAAACGCAGTAACTGAATTTAAGATTTCAGTGTAATAACAGATTAGAAATAACTTGATAATGAAGAAGAAATTATCCAGGATGTAGTATGGAAAAATAAAAAGGGAGTAAGAGCCATAGACATTAGAGTGAAGGGCTCTGCATTAAATCAGCAAAGGCGATAAACAAAGGGGTATAAGCAATATATGAATATAAACTCGCCAAGAATTTCACAGAAGTAATGAAAGACACTAATCCACAAATTCAAGGTCTGATAAAACACCAAACCCAACAAAAACACATCCGCAGTTGTATATATCATGAAAATGCAGAAAACCAAAAACAAAGCACAATCTTTAATACATATCCTACAATAAAGAGTGAAACTGACCATTTTTAAGAACTGAAGACGAAGCATTTTCAAAAGGTGATCAATAGCGAGCACACTGAAGTTATTTAATTCAGCTGCCCCAAGGACATAATTACAGTATGATGGAGCCATGGCAGAACTACACACTACAATTACTTCACTTACCAGCTATGTGGTTTTCAGTATCTGAGGCAGCGGCTTAACTCTAACCAAACATCAAGATTCTTAGAAGGAGAAAGGGAAGACTGCTAACCAGGTAAATGGTCATGACATAGTTCCTCCTGGTTGTAAGGGATTAAGGCACCAACGCTTCAGCTGGGAAAAATAATTGGCCAGCCTCTGCTTTCAGACCCGTATAAACTGTTAACAGCTCTTCTCATGCTCTATTTGAAAGACTGTAAAAGTTGCCTTTATCTCAGCTCAATCCCTTGTAACAAAAAGGAGTATAAACACTGATTACTTTCAAGAATTTCAGAAGCAGTGCCCTCCAGACCATTTTATGGGGTCCCTGTAACATATCAATAAGCCAAACAGCTGACGAATGAACAAATCTTACCTCACAGCTGGTACACAAGAGGTCATTAGGAATTCTGACCACCAGGCCCGCACTTGGCTTCCCTGGGTCCCAACTCCAGACCTACTCAGTCAGACAATCTGGGGGTAGGGTCGGAGAATCCGCATTTAAACGGGCCGCAGATGATCTTGTTTTTTACTAGATTAAGAACCACTTCTCTGAACGAGTAGTTCTCCACATTTACACCTGTGTGCACAGACATTCACGTGGGCAAACAACTCTCAAACAAGATCCTTCAACCCTCGGTCTTAGTTTCCTAAGTTTTCTTTTGCAAAACGAGCACGCTGGCTTGTTATCTATTAGAAGAAAATGCACTGAGCACAGCAAACGGTCCACGGTCCACAGTAAGTGTGTTTCCCATCCTACACTTGCGTTCTGTGATTCAACGATTTCCAGCCAGGCACTCCCACATCTCCTGAGTAGAGCCGTTCCAAGACCCCTGCGAGAAAGCCCGCTCCTCCCTTGGAGCCTGGGTGGTCCCACTTAGCAGAAACGACAAGAGGCCCGAAGTCCCGAGACCGCTAGAAAGGGTCGGGATGCTTCCCCACACGACTTGGGAGGCCCTCCCGCGGGCTCCCTCGGCTCCCCTCAGGTTGGGCCCCAGCAAGCCCCTGGCCCCAGTGACTCAGAACACTGCGCGAGTGCGCAGACTGAGAACCGGCCTGGCCTTAAACTTCACACTAAACGTAGGCCCCCATCTCCTCAGCGAAGAAGCTGGAGCCCAGGTCTCTCTGCCAGGCCAGGGCCCAGGCCGCACTCACCTACCAGCGTGCGGGAGGCGAAACCCCCTCACCTCGGCGGCGCCCACCCCAAACCGCCACCGCTAAGACCGCTCGCTCTTTAGGACAAAAAAAAAAAAAAAAAAGGAAAGAAAAAAAGAAAAGAAAGAAAATAGCCTTTGCTTTTGTATTCCTTTTGACCCTTCAGGGCTTCCTCTTCCTCACCGCCACAACAAAGTTCCGCCCCGCTTCCGGCGGCGTAACCCAATCCGCACCCCTCTTTCTCCCCAGGAGACAGATGGAAATCCGGTGTCCGGAAAGCTAGCCGGAGAAACTTGATTGGACCATTCGCACCTCAGCAAGGGGATTGGCCAGCTCGCGCCTGAGGGGCGGGGCGGGCCGTGTGATCACGTGGTACCTTCCCTGAAAGATGACTGGCTGTCAGGGAGAGGGCTTGCCACCGAGGAAGGGGCGTTTCCTAGGGGACTGAGGGACGGCCGGGGCGGTGCGAAGCGGGGGTGGGCCCAGCGCGTAATGGCAGCGCCGTGGCCTCGCGTCCATCTTTACCGCTCTCTCGGACCTGTCACAAAGGAGTCGCGCCGCCGCCGCCGCCCCCTCCCTCGGGTGGGCCCAGGAGCTGGAGAAGTCAGTGCCGCAGCCCGGCCGCGCTGCTCTGGGAAACCACTGGGGACGCGGAGCGGGCGGGAATCCGAGGGCTGGGGACGTCCGTGAGGGAGGGGAACAGCCGCCCGGGTCTGCGGCGGGGAGACCGGACTGGGGCCGGGGGAGACTCCGGGAAGGGGCCCGGGAGGCGTTGGGCAGAGCCCAGGAAACAGCCCGGAGGTTCTCCACTGAGGCCCGCGCTGAAGGCGCCTGAAGAGGTACCTGGAAGAGGGTGTTCCCCCTTTAGGGGGTTCGTGACCGGCGAAGGTTGTTGGGGGTCGCTCTTCCGAGGAGGCCGCGGCTAAAGGGGCCCAGGTGAGAGGCAGGTAGCTCTTGGGAGGTTCCTGATATTTAGGGGTGCTCCTCAGGAGTGTCCTGGACGGAAGGGGTAACTGGAGGAGGCGTTGGAAGGGTTTTCTTTTGTGGAGTTTAAGGTTTAGGTGGCACGGGTGCGAGTCGGACCTTCCCCTGGGAGACATAGAAATGCCTTGGGGTCGAGAGACCCCTCAGAGACAGGGACTAGGAGTTTGGGAGCCAGAGCTAGCGGATTCTTTTACTCCGGAGGCCCGATGTGAAAAATGGGTAAGGGCCCTAGGGAGAGGTTGTTGCTGATCTGTTCTGGAAAGCAGAGACCACCATCTGTAGGAAAGCCCGGGTGGGGAATAGTGAGAGGGAAGCGGTAACGGCAAGGGTTTTCCTCTCTGGAGACCGACCTGTGTCTTAAACACAGGATTCAGCTGTTTCTGGGTGTAGTGCAGGTTGGTTGCGGGGGGGGGGGGAGTCTGTCCCAACAGCGCTCCTTGCGTGACTCTAGATGAGGCTTTTGTTCCTACCTGGTGCCTCAGTTTCCCTGTCTTTGGGGAGGGAGAGCGAGCCAGAGATGGTTCACTGAGACTGTCCAGTTCTATTCTGTAGAGCCGTCTGAATGAGGCTGCTCTCCCTGGAGTGTTGTACTTTGAACTTTAAAAGGTTGGAAGTGTCTTATTAGTGACTACAGCCCCGTAGTTGTCCAGGCACCTCACCTACCATGTACGGGTTCTTAGATGCGTAACGTAATAATCTTGGGTCTCTTCCGTAAAATAGCGCAGTGTGTGAAGATACTTTCCAAACTACAGGCTGTGGAAAGTAAAGTACTGTGATTCTACCACCAAAAGGGTTGAGGAATGAAAGTGAAGGCACAGTCTAAACTGTAAAGCAGTATGTAGATGTAAAAGGGATTAGCATTAATACAATTGTTGATCACCTATGGTGCTGGGAGCCATATTGTACTGAAAACCTCAAGGTTCCGGGCTTTCTAGGTCATAGTATGATCCAAACCCGTGGCCCCTGCTTAGATGGGAGTGGAGGGATTTCCGGTTTTTGCTCCCAGAGTTTTAATTTACTTTGAACTTCTGATGGTGCTGGCAGGAGGTAGCATTATAATATAGTCTTTTCCTCCAGAAAGTTTTTCTCTGACAGCTGAAATTTGATCTCAATATTATAAACCACCTCCCCTTTTTCCATGTATATGTGTGTGTGTGTCTGTGTGTGTGTATGGCCTTTGAGTGTCTACATGTAGTGAATATCATGACTTTTGGGTGTCTACATGTAGTGAATATCATGCTTCCTCTCTCAGTTGTGATTTTGGAGATGAGACCTTTTTTCCCCCATGAATACTATGCCTTTCTGTGTTCTGTGGTGGCTTCAGACTATGGGTTATGAGGCACATTAGCAATTGCTTTTAAAATTCTCTTCCACGGTGGTTCTCTATTTCTCACCATATATAGAATTTGCATTTCCTGCAATGACATCTTGCTTTGTAGCTCCCCCTATGAGGTTATAAGATAATTGTGTCCATGTATGATATTTTCCTAATGTTTGGTTACTGGCATTTGTTAGAGCTGGTTTTCCAAATGTTGGGTAATTGGTGATTTTTGAAGTTTGGTCTTTTTTTTTTTTTAACAAAAAGCTGGCTTGCATTTCCTGTTTTCCTAATTTTATATTTCATGGGTCTTAAAAAAAAAAGTGTACTGTGGTGATTTTATGAGCTTTCTGATTTCCCAGGATACATGCTGTCCTGACCTACTGCTTAATGCCTGTGTCCTGCTTTTGCTGTTTTTACAAACCCTTCATTATTTTTGTACTCCATGATTATTTTTAAGTTATTGATTAGGAAGTGTTCCAGCATACTCTGTGTGGACTTTTTTTTCTGATTTGTCAAAAAAAATGACTTTTCCCTTAGTAAATTAGCCAAAAATCAAGGGGAAATAAAAACTTAGCATTATGTGTAAAACTTTGTTATTCTGTAGTGAATAGGGAAAAACAACAGCTCTGAAGTATGTTTTGGCAAGAGAATAGCAAATTGTTGTGTGTTCCTGAAGTGCATTTACAGCAGTCTATTTCTACTCATGAGCTTAAGTCAGTCTATCAAGAATTACAAAAATAATGGGAAGTAATTTTTTTTAATGAAGTGAGAAGTCACTTTGCATCCTTTAAAATACAACTCACCTTGATACTCTAATATCTATATAGTTGGAGAAATTATTAGGAATTCCTAAGGATGGTAATGACTATTACAACTTTAAATTGGAAGTTTTCTGCTTTGTGGTCAGATCCTTGTAAAGTAGATGTGATAGTCACAGGGCTGAAAAAGTAAATGGAAAATCATTAGGCACCACAGATGGGAACCACAATGGAACCAGCAATCTATTTCAAAGAGTTCTTTGAGGGTAGTAAACTATCAGTTGAGCTTCTCTTCAAATATTTGGCATTTTTGCATTTACCATTGAGTTTGGATAGTTTTTTCCTTGTGTACAATTTAGAAAATTGAAAAATAGGAAAGTCAGGAAGTAGTGAAAGCTAAAACTTGGGCCACAATCGTTAGAAGGAGACTTGTACAATTTTAGGAGTGCGAAAGAATGAATATTTTCCCTTTGGTTTCTCTATTCAATAAGTCTGCTTTTGAAATATGATTAGGAAAAAAGGTACATATTGCTAAATTTTACTCTCTGTGTCCATTTCAAAAGGTAATGCTTGCTGGTTAAATATGTAAAAGCATATTTAACTATAGGAAACTATATGTATGATATATACAAGGCTAAATGAGGCAAACATTTTATAAACAGTGGTTGGCTGTTAGAGAATATTCTCCCTTTCTGAGCTTTTGAAAATGAAGAATGCATTTGAAAAAGCAAAGACTTGATGCGCTTCTTAAGTTTGTTAATGAATGAACCCTTCATGTAACTTTCTTGTTGCTTGATATTAGTTTCCGGGCATAATTTCATGGGTCTTATACACATCAAATAGAAGGTTTGAAACACCTTACTTGGCAAGTTTATTAGTACCTCAGTTTAATGTTTCAGTGTTAGTTTTTTCTTACTCCTTCTACCTCCTGAAGAGTTAAGTTTCCTCTCCTGGGCCCCCTGATGCCGTGACTGTCCAAGTATGGCTTCCACTCCACCCTTCTTTGTGAGAAGTACAGCTCCTTTTTTCAGTTCTTATTGCTTCATAGTTATTCATAGTTACATATGCCTAAGGGCTACTTATTAATAACCTACCAAGTGACTTGTTAAGAATTACTGAAACAAGGAATTCATAAACCAAAACTACTATAACCTTAGAGTTTACTGTTGTCTCCCCGAGTCTGTCCTGGGAACCTTGGCACTACTGCAGAGCTTCTTCCATGTGCTATGCAGAATGGGGGTTCCTGCCATATTCAGGAAGGGTGCTTATTTGGGATCATCCTCAGTATTGTCTCAGATGAATCTTGGCTTTCCATTGTGCTTCCTTCCTCCCCCCCGCCAATTGAAATTAATATTAACTTCATCTTTATCAATTTAATTTATGGGCTTTTGGTTAACCTTTTACTGTGTGGTTGGGAATATTCCCACCAACAATGTTTTGGCTTATAATTTAATGTGTACATGAACGTGTAGCAGCGCAAACATAAATCTTCCATTCCCCTTTTGCTAATGCTGGTATGTATAGTCACCTAGAAACATGCTTGTAAGAGATACTTGAAAGTCACTAAGTTCCTTTTCCACTGGAAAAATGGTAGAGGGGGAAGCCTCCACCTCATGGACCTGACACTTTATCCATAGGCTTCTATGGCATGTACTGTATTATAGGTCAGGCGCTCAGTGTTGCTGTATTGCTGTCCTTCATCCCTTTGCCAAGAGCATGAGGGACCTCTTTTCATCTTTGCTTAGTGCCTGGCATATAAGCATTGGATTTATATTTATTAAATGACGTCTGAGTTTTTCAAAGTGATAACTCCTTTGGAAACACTCGATTTTTACAGATTTTAGAATAAATTCACCTAAAATACTTCCTGACTACCTGTTAGCTTCTAATAGGTATCCAGTTGAGTGTGCAATTGAGTGTTTTCAGATACTGCTTTGAGTAGGTCTCTTTAAGGAAAGTGTTGCTATTTATGCTGTCAACACATTTTGTTTCAATAGCAAAGAGTTCTCTGTAATAGTAAAGTTCGTTTCCCTCCGAGTTGTGTATCATGAATGTGTTTGAATAACCGATTTCTTGTTATCTGGCCTCCTAGGGGGGTAAAATCTCAAATAGTATGGAGTACTACATTT